AGCATGCTTATGGAGCATGAAATGAAGCCTAAGAGAAAACTAGTGAACTAGTGTGTGTGTGCATGTGTGTGGCCGATTTATACAAGGTGTATACTCTCATCGAAGTTTTCCAAGAGTTTGTGGTGTTTGTGATTCCATTTGAGGCATTCACACTATTGGTGCTTGGCCCTCAAACTCCTTAGAACTCAACTCACCAAAAGGTATGTAATCTCTTCTAACTCTTTTATGTTGAAATGTTCCCCATGCCATGTTAGATAGGTTATAAACCTTGGAAAATTATTATTTTGCATGTATTTAGACAAACATAGATCCAAGGTTTATTAGGGTTGCATGCACACTTAGGAAGTGTTAGATTGCTCAAAACCCAACAGAAAGCGCCAAGAGAAATAGGTTCGTTGCCGAGGTATTAATTGAAGCATTTATCTCTTGGCCTTCAGGACATGAATATGGGGTCACTCAAGCATTAGTGGCTGATGGTTTCTCTGGAGTTTAGCAAGTTCTCATTTTGTTTCTTGGAGGTGTGTGATCATTCGGGATGGGCTAGTAATGGATCACTAGTGGGAAAGAGGTGGTCGGCCTCAAATCGGTCGTCGGAAAGTGAAAAGGATTGAGAATCCTCCAGTTTTCATGTATTATGAAGGGTTAGTCGAGTCTAAGTGGGGGAGTGTTACCCCGCGATGCGGAAGTGAGAGAGGTTTTGAAACGGGGATAAGTTTCATAACCTGATAGGGAGAATGGAGGCCCTAGTGGCTGCTTGGTTGAGGGTTGTGTGAGTTGGGGGTTCGGTAAAACTCCCCATTATGTGTATCACGTATTCTCGGTAGTTGATAACAGAATTTGGGGAATCAGGTTGGAAGTCTGGTTATGATTAAGTTAAGTTCGAGTATTCGCTCGAGGGTGTGGTCAGCTCTGAGGGTTTTTGGATTAATAGATTGAAGGTTTTGTTATCTGCCAGGGCTCAACAGCATTTCAGCATGGGTATGCGAGTTATTTAGCGTATGTGATAGACACGTAGGACAGGGAACAGACCATGGGTTCAGATGAGGTAGTTGATTGATGTGAGGCCTGGGTTTAGGCTGAGGAAAATTCAAGTGATAGATTCTGAGTTCGGAACCCCTAGAGGGCTAGAACAGACTACATGGGAGAGATTCCTGGGAAGAATGGTTCAGGGTGATTTACAACAGTTTTTGAGCAGTCCGAATAGACTAAAGGCCAGTGGGCGTACCAGTCAGGCCGAAGGCTCGGAGAATGGTCTAGATAGGCTTAAGGCCCAGAAGGGCGGTCCAGACATGTTGAAGGTTCTGAGAGTGGTCCAGATAGGCTGAAGGCCTGGTAAGGCGATCCAGGGTAAGGGCCCTTCATGAAAGTACCATCTAGACCTAGAAAATCTCTTAACCCATATTTGAATCCTAACTTCAATGCACCCAGATATATTCTTCTAAAAGCTGTTGTGGTAATAGATAGGGAGGTTTTTGGATATACATCAATCCGAACTATTGTACCAGGATTAGTGTTGAGTAGCTCCAACACATAATCCCTAAAAAATCCTTACTGTACTTGGTAGTCCCCACTAATGATATGTTCAGCCATTGACTTTGCCTTAGCAACCTTTTGCAATGAGATTCCTACCTCTAGTTTCTTGCACAACTCTTCGTGTAAAGCTTACACTGGAATTTTAGGGTTACTCTGAATTTGTTGAACAATTAAGTTTGCTACGTATCATGGAAGTGAAAGCTTTAACCGTCCTTGTTTGCAAACATTTATGCTCATCCTGTACTGTTTTCACCAACGAATCCTGATTTCCATTAGCCCTTGATATTTGGACTGCCCATGGACATGTACCTTTATTGGCAATTACATCTTTACCCTTGCACTTTTCCTTACTTCTAGTTGAGGGCTCACCACCATCAACTACTTTATATGGCTTACTTACAACACATTTACATTTCACCTTAATCCAAATTTTGTCATTTTTTGCTAGGTATAAAGACCACCTTGTTGCTATAGTGTGTGAGCTCGTGTAGTTTTTAACATCACACTTGGTTATAAAGACATGACCAATCTGAAATGGTTTTACATGAACCTCTCCATGTGAGCATGTACTTGACTTACTCAACTCTTTTAGCAGTCTTTTCCTACCATCTTCATGAAATCCCGCAAATTGATAATTATCAGTGGCAATAACTTCCAATTCATCATCAACCATGTCATTCCCTTCATCTTTTGAATGATTGTTCAAGATTCCATGTTCTACATCAACAACATTATGGAATTTACTCATGTCTACATCTACATCAAACTGTATGTTAGACTCATCCACATTGTATTCACTGTCATCATAATCATCTCCACTATCCTCAGAACCATGGCCACTCTCAGAATAGAAAGCCTCTCCACTATCATCACTCACCATACCTTCTAGATAATCCACTTCTGGTTGTTGTTCAAATGAAGTTTGAACATTAAACATAACATCATAATTTGCATAAAGTGAGTAATCCTCTATAAATGGTTCATAGTCATCAACCGTTGCAGTATTAGCTCCATCATCAGCTTGGAAGCTTGGTTCCTGTACATGGTAAGTTCCTAATGGTTCTTCAGTTTCAACTGCACTAGTGATCACTTCTTCTTGAGTTTCAATTTCATGATTCACCACTTCCTCTTGAATGACATGACTTTGTTTGCTAGCTTGTGACCTTATAAATGGCAGAATACTCTTTGAGTAATCATGCCCTTCATCAACATCTAATACTTGTGATTGCTCATAATCAGGGTTCATAGACTTGTTTAGATCAAGCTTTCTACTGCATGATCCTGTTTCTCTCCCTCAAGGTTTATTTTTATTCATTTTAGGTGACACACTATCAGGCTCCAACTCTTCAGTAACAACTTTAGAAGGAGACTTGTAATAACTCGCTACCCTTGTCTGACCAGTTTCAATATACATCCTAATAAGTTTGTGTTTAGGGACATATGATACCATTTTAAGTACATCTTGGTCATTACCTAAAGGCATTAAGCCATAGTCCAAAGGGTATTCAGGGATACAGAAATGGTAGTAAAGGGTTTGCTTAGTTTTGTACCCTAGTTCTCGGACCATGTTGTCAAGCTCATGAACTGAAAATAAATCAGTGTCAACATCATCTACATATGCTACAACACCATCAACGTATTTCCTTCTAGGTGCTTTGGTGAAGACACCACTGTAGTGTATCTAACTGAAAATAAATCAGTGTCAACATCATCTACATATGCTACAACACCATCAACGTATTTCCTTCCAGGTGCTTTGGTGAAGACACCACTGTAGTGTATCTTCAACGTGAAATAGTTGTCATATCCTTCTGCAAACAAAAAAAAGAGTAAAATCAATGATTTCTCTACATGAACACAATCGACCAAGAGAAAACAAGTTTTGTTATAGTATTGTACCGTATCTTTTTCCTAAGTCCTCCACGATTACAATTTTTTCTCAAAAACACCATATTGATAGCACCATTGCAATTCCTGCATCTTAAAACCCTAGATCCCAATTTATATTCGTGCTTATATGATAGGAATGAACCCGATAAATACAAATGTAACTGATTATCTTCTTGGGAGAGGGACGGGTAGTGACGTGCAAGCAATAGGTAATCATTCCATATTAAAGAGAGAAGTTATGACTGAAATGACAAAATTACCCTGCAATATAAAATTAAAAAATGAGTTAACGGTGAAATGCTAACAGAGTGAGCCGGAAGGACCAAATGTTAAAAGTTTTGAAACCACAGGAACCATCTGTGAGGTTTTTTGAACTTAGAGATTAAACTTGATATTTTTGAAAACCATAAGGACCTTTTTTGAAGTTTTGTCTATATAAAATAGAAAAGTTCCATTATTTTAGGAAAATCACATAATCTGTCATTTCCTATTAAAATAAAAAAAAAATTCATTAATTTGGGCAAAATGTTAAATATTCAGGATTTTTCTGGTAACAAAAACTCTTAAGACTTGATAATAAATTTTTCCAAAATAATGAGACTTTTCTGCATAAAACATCATTCTTCATATATATATATATATCTATATATATATATATATATATATATATATATATATATATATATATATATATATATATATATATATATATATAAGTTCGGTTCCTGTGAGAATTCGTGAGGACACCTTAAAAAAGCTGGAAAAAAAATCTAAAAAAATTACAAATAATAAAATCGAGCATAGATCTATGTCCGGGAGAAAAGAAATTAGAAAAAAAATTACATCATTAAAATTGATCTATGATTCAATTTTAATTTTTTATTTTACATTATTATGATTAACGATTCAATTTTAATGATCTATTTTTTTTTCCAATTGTTTTCTCTAAAACATAGATCTATGTTTAATTTTATGATTTATATTTTTTTTAGATTGTTTTTCATTTTTTTTAAAGTGTCCTCAAGAGTCTTCACTTTAAAATAAGTCTTCACCCAATCTTATCTCTATATTATACTTAGTTATTATATTGAAGCTTGCTATACGGAGCATAGTTTTGATTGATATTTTCAACCTATTCAATATTTCGAACTCTAGCCAAAACACGAGCCCTTAACAAAAAGAACCATCAAAGTATCAAACCAAGTTCAAATGTAACCTACCACCACTAATTAAGAATCTTCCCACGTATGTAACGCTTAATTTTAAATGTTTTGGAAACTACATTAAAATCAAATTTGAAATACGGTAATCGTTATCTTTCTAATCAAGCAAATGAAAAGGTGTTAGTAAAATATAGGTTGCTTTTCTTTATACGAGAGAGTTATTATCTTTAATAAATTTACAAAGCATAAGTAAAATTCAAGAAACGCATATAATTAATTATGCTTAAAAATATATTTTTTTAATGCCTATTATTCATTACGGGTAAGTTAAGAAAGGAATGAGAAGAACCACCGTCACATGGCTCACATCACTCTATATATTGCATGCTTTTCTTTTTTTCTTTTTTGGAATTCTAATTCTAAGCTACAAAAAAGATTTTCTTTTGTTTTTGTAAAAAACAAAAAATAGAGAGAATACAATGAGGAAGTATAACTTCGGAGGCCAAATGTTTCTGTTATTAGTTGTTCGTTTTCTGTTTTCAAAACATGTGTCTGAGGCATCAAGAGTCAATCTCCCTCTTCCTGATCACAAAGAAAAGGTAAAATATGTGCATCATCCTTTTTATTTTTTTGCCATAATGATATGAAACTAAAACATTGACCAACGAGAGATCTTTTCATTTTCATATTATAGCGAAATTGCACATATGCAATTACAGTAGAAACGACATGTACAATGGGTGCCGAGACCTCCAACCATGTCAGTATAAGATTTGGCGACTCAAGTTCAAATGACATTCTGGTGCATAGCCTCAACTCAAAGCAAGTTAAAAGGCTTGATCCACTAGAGCCACAGGTTCTTGATGAAGTGCCAATAAAACCATTTCAAGTTTGTACAATAGACCAAATGGAACACACAAGCCAATGTGTGGATTCCCCCGTATGTTACTTATACCTAAAATTGTCAGGAAAAGATGATTGGCGTCCTGGTTTTGCACAAATCCGAGTGCTAGAGAGCCCACATCTTAGTTCAAGTTACTTCTATTTTCGAAGATATCTGCCAAGAAACGTATGGCATGGTATTGATCTTTGTCACACAAAGGTTACCCCTTTTGGATTAAAATACAAAAGAAAAGTGTTCGGCTAGTAGTCTTGGATCCATCCATGTCATTGCGGAACAAACTTACGAATGCATGCATGTTTTAAGTAGACTTGTATCATGCAAGTTAGTGCAATTTTGAGTTTCAACTTAACTCAAAGTACTACGTTAAATTCTAGTATATAATATATAAAATTTGTTATCTAAGTACTTAGATTTGCATTTTTTGTTCTATACGTACATATATACACATAAATATATGTTAAACAACATATACATAATAAATACGCAAATACAAAAGCATATTGATGTGCTTGGACCATATCCACTTCCTTAACCACCTCCAAAACCCCATCACTAGGGTAGCAAGACCAGAGTAGAAGCAGCGATGAAAGCAGTGAAGAGAGAGCTTCGGTGGTGGAGGGAGAGCTCCATCTTTTCTTCTCTCAACAAACCAAATGTGGATGAAAAATGCAATATAAGTTTTTGGATTAAGAAGTTTGCAAGCTTCTCAATTTCTATAGAGGTGACAAGTGCTCCATAGTTCTTCAAAGCACAATCTACGACTATGTTGCTTTGATGAGTGGGAAAGGTAGTCGAATTAGGATATCACTACCGGTACGGACTCCACAGGAAGTTGCAATCCTACTCTTCTATTTGCAATATTATCACTTACCATCAAGAATTTTGTGTCACATAGCAAAATCCCAAGATATGGTGTTTTCTTGTTGCTACTTACATATTATCTTCAATCAAAAGAGTTCCTAGAAGGAATAAATCCACACGATTAATATAAGAGCTTCATCAGCAGATACCAAATAAGATGATTTGTGTCCATTGCGTCTAATAAGGATGATCCAATAGAAATACTTTTGGTGTCATCGTAATTGGTCTCAACTCCTCAGTACTTATTCCCCATTGACGATCTAATATTGTCTTAGATTCATTCATATTGGGTTTGGGTTTTCTTTCTTTAACCTGAATTACTTTTTTCATCATCAATAATGACTCATGATGAATGGTGGACTTTATAGGATGTGTTAATGGTTTGTGTTTATGTTTTGTGTGGAGTTCTTTCCAAGGGGAGGTGGTAGTGAGTTTCTGGTGATAAAAAATAATGGTGTACCTGGTCTGCCAGGTATACAAATACCAACCCAGGACCCTCCTAATATAACAGCAAAAAGTAACTGTTGTTACGAAAAACCAAACCATGTTTCAATAACAATACATACCGGGCAAAGATCTTAGGGCAAGCATATCTCGGGAAAAACACAACATACATATATTTATAATAAACAAATAAAAGTGGTACAAGGAAAATAGTTATCCTTACCCAGACTATTCAAGAAACCAGGCTAGAGCGCACACTGATACACATTCAAATGCCTATAAAAGTTGAGCAATACTTCAAATGGGCATCTAACTTAGGCACCGGAGACCAATAGTCCATCACTTGGTATCACTTTCTAACCTAGCATCTGTCTACTTTTATTACGTGCCATCTTGTTTGTGCATTAGAAGAAGGGACCATCAAATTGCTACCACACATCCAGGATGCTACATAACAACATTTGTGTCATCCGTGTCATCATAATGAGAAATGCAAGCACGAAACTAGCAAGTAACCTTAATGGGCAATATAAAACACAACAAAATAAACAATATCAAGAGACCCATCAAAAAACTTGTATACCAAAAATCACAATTTAACGCTCTTTGCAACAACAACAAAATTACAATTGACACAAGAAGAAAAGACCCTCAGACCAACGTAAATTAACAAGTCGTCGAGGCAAGGAATTGGTGAAACAGGTAGAAACATGCAGTAGGAAGAAAGACAAAGCAACCTTGGAGGAGTTATTCACCAAGCAAAATCTAACCCCCGTTAGTTAGGACTAGATGATTATATGATTATAATAAATAATTATTCATTTTATTGAGTAATTAATTGTTGGTCGTACACATTACAAACTATATAGACCTTTTTTTATCACTAAGCAATAAAAATAATGTTTTTGATGATAAATTATCTTGATGAAAGATGTAGTAGTCGCAATGATGATTCCATGGGTATAAAGAACATCAAAATCTGAGTTCGTATGAATAAGTTATGATGTTTTGAAGTTTCACGTTCAGCCTTATACGACAACGTGTGTCATAAAACATGAATCTGATATAGGTTTCTTATTAGCCTAAGTGATTTATATAAAAGTTGTAGTAATCATAATTCCGAGAAAGTTCATTTAAAGAACGCCTAAATCTAAGTTAATATGAAGAAGTTGTGATTTTTCAAAGTTTCAGTGTAGTAGTGTGCGATACAGAAATCAAAATTGAATTAGGTTGAGTGTTAGCCAAAACAATGTACACGGGAGTTAAATATCTTGTAAAAACAAACATGTCGATATAAAGACAGTCGAGAACGGAGTTCATATGATGGATTTATGATTTTTGCATGGACTTTAACAATGTAATATCTATAAAAATACAAATTAAAAATAGAGTGATAATTAGTTGTTGGGATCTAAAGGAAATTTATAGTAGTTGGAAATATCTACAAGTGTATATAAAGAACATCATAAACGGAGCTCGTATAAGAGAGATATGATTTTTCGAAGTTTGTGAAAAATACCAGCGAGAATGATGACGATGCACCGCGTGGCCTTTTCGGGTAGTCGCCTCCTGCGAGAGACCGAGTGACGTGGACCATATAAATTACTTCATGTGGCATCTACATAATCCGGAAACGTCCACTATAGATGCTGCGTATCTCAGGCTATGGCGCGACGCGCCTCCTTTTTTCAGTCTGTAAATAGCAACGAATTATGGTCATTTCTCACTAAAAATCCCTCCAAAAATCTCTCAAAATTTACCGAAACCCCGAGGCCCAACATTGGGAGTTTTTAAGTATTGGTAGCAATGCTCTCGAGCATTAGAGACACAAAGGAATAGAAGCTTTCGAGTCCTAGTTCTGTCTATGAAATTTCCAATTTTTCACTAGAATAAGTTAAGCTGCACTTGTTACGCTTTAAGTGTAACTTATATTTATATTAATAGTTGTTATTATGAATTTATAAATAAGATTTATCAATAATTCCAAGTCATAATACTAATAGATTTACTTAGGGGAGTGATGTCTAGGTTAAATCTAGTGAAGTGTTTAAAGTGAATTTTCCAAACAATATATATATATATATATATATATATATATATATATATATATATATATATATATATATATATATATATATATATATATATATACACACCAAATGGATTCTACCTCTGAAATGATCTGACCTTGTTATTCCTTATTTTTTTTAGATCTCGATGTATTGTATAAATACGAACGAATACTAAAGCATAATAATATTTGTATTTAGGCTGTTTAAAAGGGATAAATGAAGTACTAGCCGATGAACTAGTTTTTCCGAGGATCTTCCAAAACAAGAGTTAGTATTGGAAGATTTTTTGGAAAAAGTGCCATAAAAAGGTTCGAAGTAGTTACCTCGGTGATACACAACCTAATCGGGTTTAGGACACAAAGGGGATACAACATAATTTATAGCAAACCACTAGTAATGCCAACGTTAATACTGATAGCGGCAGATGGTTCCAAATTAAGATAGAACAAACATATAATCTAGAAAAATGGGGAATCATCATGATAAAATAGCACGTATCTGGGCCAAGGAATCCATATAGGATGTACATTACTAGCCACACTCCAAGAAAGATTCGTTAACCTAATAGGAGAATATGTTGATGTATTCGCTTGGCAACTAATAGGCATGGTGGGAGTACCAAGAGAAGTAATTGAACATAAACTCAATGAGAGACCGATGACAAAACCAATTCGGAAAAAGAAGAGAGGCCAATCTGGGGAATGCAACAAAGCCATAAATGATGAAGTGGATAAACTAGTTAAAGCATGCATAGTTCAAGAATCTTTATTCCTATCTTGGGTAGCTATTTTAGTCTTAGTGAAAAAAGGTGACAAGCAATGAAGAGTGTGCATCGACTTTACAAACCTGAATAAAACATGCCTAAAAGATTGCTATCAACTTCCAACAATTGATAAAAAGATAGAATTTTTGGATACAAATGGAAAAGCTTCTTAAACGCATACAAAGGATACCATCAAATCCATATGATCAAAGGAGACGAAGAGAAAACATCCTTTCACATGGATAAAGGAATGTTTTTCTATACAAAAATTATGTGGATTGACAAAACAGGAGCATTGTATCAAAGATTGGCAGATAAAATCTTTGCATATAAATTAGGTAGAAATATCGAGGTGTATGTGGACGACATGGTCATAAAAAGAAAGAATGGTCATGCCTTATTAAGCGACATAAGAAAAACGTTCAATAACCTGATAGAAGTCAATATGAAATTAAACCTAGCAAAAAGCCTTTTTCGGAGCAGAAGAGGGCAAGTTCCTAGGACACGTGTTCACAAAAAAACAATAAAGGCAAACCCCAAGAAGATTGACATGCTAATACAACTGTAATCACCACGGACAATTAAGGAAGTGTAAGCACTTAACGACAAGTTAGTTGCGTTAGGACGGTTCCTAGTGAAATCGACCGTAAAACATTGACTTTCTACAAGACCCTCAAAAGGGTATTGTATAAGAAAGATTTTAAGCGGATAGATGTGGTGAAAACAACTTTAAAGAAACTCAAGATAGCATTAGCAGAACTACTAGCTTTAGCATCACCAGTACCATGGGAAATGGAAAAGCATCACCAGTACAAGGAGCTGAGATAAGATACTCCGATATGGAAAAGCTAGCTTTATTCCTTGTCAATATAGTAAGACGATTAAGAAGATATTTGTTAGCGTACCCAATCGAGGTGCTAACCAATGCACCAATACATCAAGTACTGTTAAATCCATAAAAACCGGGTCGTCTTACTAAATGGGCAGTTGAATTATAGGAGCACGAGATTGATTTCAAGCCACAGACAAGTATAAAGGCACATGCATTATTAGACTTCATAACTGAGACAACTAGCAACACGGAGATAACCATAATGGAAGAAAGCAACAATAACGGTAAACAATAAAACCAGTCTGACAAAGAACCATGGGTCTTGCATATTGATGGATCCTCAAGTATGTATAGGGTGGGAGCCAGTTTAACACTCAATAGCCTAACAGGAGAAAACATAACCTATGTTTTACGGTTTGACTTTACAACATC